ACAATAAAATTTGATTTCAATTGAGAACTCGTGTGGTGAATTTCAGCAATACCTAAATTGAATATTTACGATGCAGTGGGACCAGGAAACGACTATACGCCTCATTAGTGAATATAGGAAAAGAGAAATTTTGTGGAATCCGCGGAATGCAACATACTACTCGTACAATAAAATTGACCATCGATGTCTTCGCCTCTTTTTGCTGTCCTTTTTTTTTAATAAACTGTACATTACAATGAAACTAGCGCTAGCAACCGCCACATCAACGTTATCCATCTTTGAACGTACCGAGCACCCGAGCACGACTGGAGCAGCTTCGCACACAGTTGCGCATCTTGCCTCGTGCGTAAACAAATTTCATTCCGTTTTGCAACCCGAGGCAGAACCGAATGCCTCGGCTTGCCTCATTCGCGTGCGTGCTCAAGTCTGTACGCACCTTTAAGTATCAAAATTGGATCGGGCCTACGATACTTACAGGCCGGAGCGCTCGAAAAAGTCACGTGACCTTAGGAGTCAGCTTGGGAGACATTAAATACTCGTACATTACGGCTTATGGAAAATTCGTGCGCGGCTCCGCTATTTATTTTTTTACTCTGGATCCGTTTAACATAGATCCACGAATCAATGAGAGCCGGTCAACCGTACATGGAATTGAATTATAGTATTTGTTAATTATTAGTAACACTAGGAATAATGAATTTTAAGGTTTAAAGTCTTTGTAGATATAACGACGATAGTAAATCCGTGTGTTTCTATATTTCCACCGTCATATTTCTGTTTCTAGGAACAATATCATTATAACTCTTTCGGTGTCTTTAACTAGAATGATATACATCTATTATGCGTATATAATTTTTGCAACGTATTACATTATTAATTTGAAAAATGACAGCCATAAATGAGATAATATAAAAATAACTTTAAAAAAATAAATATAAATATAAATGTGTATTATTATGGGATAGTGGGGAGGGCGACTCCATCTTCATAGGCATATGTACCCTTCCATTTGTGGCGGGTACCACGGATACACATGATGGTGCTATGATTATTGCTACGCTTATTCTAGCACGTAGCCAACCCATTACTATAGATAGTGGTCTGGTCCATCGATCAGGAAGGACCTCACCCAGGTGTCTTATAAAAGATGTCAATTGTGGGGCAAAAACACCCATCAGTGGAAGTTACAAGTAGGGTGAACGTTGTATGACGAGTCTCACATGGGCCACAGTATTTCCGTTTTTTCTTTTTCTTGTTGCTATTGATCTTTCAATTGTTCGTTTCTGTTTTGGTGGCAGTTTTGTTAGAATTATCTCCAGTATTTCATTTTCATATATTTCTTTTTGTTGATTTCCTTCTCTTTTTGCAACATATAGAGACTTGTGGTGTTCAGCAAAATTTATATCCTGAGATGTTGATAATACTGATGAGCCTTGTGTTGAGGTTTGGTATGCATGGTTTGGTGTATTGAAAGGGTCAGATATAGCAAGTCCACCTTTGTGATCGGGAAGGGAAAAGAGCTGTGCTTCTAGTTTTGATGTTTCACCTCCCAGTAGTGTTGGCAAAAATTGATCATGCAATGCATTAGTAAGGGGTTCAAAAAATTCTTCTGAATTTTTTATAACACGCAGTAGAAAAGACCATTTAAATTGGGCTGCTTTAGTTAGAGCACTGTAGGCGGCTTGAGGTGAGTCTTTGCATATTGAAGTTAACTTCTCGATTATATCCGTCCATTTGGTTACATTATTTTTAATGAAATCTTCCTTTCCTGTTCCTATGTATCCACCTAGGAAATGGGAACCAGTTACAATGGATATATTAGTGCTGTTGAATATCTTTTCTGCAATTGGTTTGTCAGCTTCAGAAACTATCAGAAATGATTTTTTGCCTTGTGGGAAATGCCTTACCTGGTATTAGTATACATATAATAGACCCTACAAAATCGCGCATTAATTGTCTGCGCAGAGCATAATTGACCACGCGAGAAACTTTTTTGTTGTTGGCGCAATTGTATCACATATATCGAATGAATTGTGGCCAAAGGACACAAACATGTTTTTCGCGGTATGTGCTGGAAGCCCTATCTCCGCTTCAGTGGCGGACTCTGTATTTTTTCCAGACGTGCCAATCGCCCATTGTGAGTACCCTTCCTTCTTGAGATATGGGAAATCATTTCTGATAAGCGGCCACCATACTTATACAATAAGATCAGGTTTAGGACTGACATTCACAATTTAAACCTTAGGCATAGAGGGCTACTAACTATACCTCAACACAAAACAGCACTATTTGAGCGGCCATTTAGCTACACCATTGCTGTGATGTACAATGCATTGCCGTCGCCTCTTAAGAGTTTACCAACTCGTCAGTTCAAAAAACAATTGTTTGGCCTTTTATTTTACTCTTTAATTTGATTTCTTGTTGCTGTTGATTATTCCTGTTCGTATTGTCTTTTATCTTTCAATCTGTTCATTCATCATTTCACTATACTTAGTAAGTAATTATTATAATATAATTTTGTTTTCTTTTGTTGTTTTGCTCTGTAAAAATATTCTTTGTTTTGTCATGGTGTAGATGGAAGAGCAGCGTTTTGCTGAATCTATGCCATGAGATTCTATAAATACGATTATTATTAATTATAACCCATAACGATAAGGGGTCGAGGAGAGGGATTTTAGTTGGTAGAAATTAATTCCTTTCGTCGAGACCTTTCATTAGAGTACCATGAAGGATGAAACGAGTTCTTCCCCTTTTCTTCTCCATTTTGATACGGGGTAAGGGTATACGGCAGTAGTTGATAGAAAACAGTTCCTTTCCCTGATACTTTTAATTATAATACTATGAAATATAAAACCAATTTCTAACACTCCCACCCCACCCCATCCACTGATCTCGAAAAGAAATCGCGGAGGAAAGTTAGAATTTGTACAAACAAATTCAATTTTGGTGAGAGCTTTCATTTGTCCATGAAGGGTAAAACGTGCTTTTATCTCCTCTCCTTCCCATTTTCAAAAGTTTCATTTGGCACCACTAAAGGCATAAATCTGAGACAAATTGGTTGACGCATGTAAAAGTTTTACTTTCGGAAACGGCATCTACGCAAATAATTCGTGAGGACCCCCCAAGAGGTCATCTGGCACATCTTCAAGGTATTAGCTACTTATTGCAAAACATTCCAGGATTCTAGGTCAAAGGCAAAAGTACATTATTTAAAAATGCACTGCTCACTTCCATTTGTTGATATCTTCTTATTTAGCAAAAGACTTGTACGACTAGTGACAACTGAACCAACATTTTCAGTATTTTTAACGCATTTAAAAAAAAATAAAATACGTTTTATCGAGTCTCTAGATCTCTGCACTGGAAAGTCGTAGAAGGTCGTTGATGACTAGTTTTCAGATGCGTTGTCTTTGACATCTGTTTGTTTTTCAATTTAAAGTTTATTTATCTGTCAACAATATTCAGTGAATAAAACATTACTAACCTTTTTTGCTTTTCGTTTACAAATACCTGTATATATTGTGTGGTGTTGATATATCCAAAACTTAATTTGGATAGATTAATGACAATAAAATTTGGGAACGTTGTGCTCAGATAAAGCGGCAATTTTTGAAATATCCCATGAAAATAAAAATCGATACGTTACCTGAATTATATCTTCATATCAATAAATATTGTCAAATGCAGGTAATACATCTTCTGCTTTATTTATGATGCAAAAATTATACGTAACAATGTAAACAAATTGTAGTTGTTCATGAAAAAATCGCTTTAAAATAAATAATAATATACGATTTTAATGGATATTCTAATACAACTATAAATTACCCCCAAAGTCTTACGCGAAACGATATCAGCGATTGTTCGGAGAAACATAAACATAATTCGATTTAAGTAATAAAATGTAAACAAGCTATTATGGTCTTGAGACAGCTGATTTGGCGTCACATGTGGCGTGCAAGTAAACGGCTCAAGTTTCCACAATTATGACGACAATATAGCATGGAATATTTAAACAATTACTTGCTTATAATAGGTCTCATTAACGCACTGTTTTGAGCGGAAAACAGTACGTTAATAAGAACATTTAAAAATCGAAATAGAAAAATTTACACCACCTTTTGCAGGTCAAAATTATCTGCATACTAGACTAATTTGCAGTTGTCTAAATTACATGCGGTACCTAATTGAAATGCGCTTTACGTAAATTATTTACGGTTACACTTTTTACTTCTTTCTTTTAAAGAAGTAAAGACATATTGTTCCATAGTAAAGTTTTAATGCCACTTATTTTGAGAGAGCTCTGTTCGCAAACAAAATTATGGTAATTGACAAACACAAAAGCTACTTATCTAAATTCAGGATCTAAACATTCAAGTTGTACATGTTTCGCTAATAAAAAATTGGAATCTAACGCACTCTTAAGAATGGCCGCTGTGGTTTGACAGATGACGCGATAACAAATTCATAAACTGGCTTTATTATTATGTCTTGTGGCACTAATATCCTGTGGCGAAAATAAATGCGAATAAATGGGGATACATATCGACAATATCCAAAAAAACATCGCTAATCTATAATAAAGTGCAACAACGCATTAGATTTGGGATCTTCTACCAAGCTTACTTTCTGAGTTACAAGTTACCATTCAGGATTATAAATAGGTCAAAAAATCATCTGTGTGTGTCTCATGTGGTAGTTTTTCGTTGAACAACATGAATCTACAGGTTTGCGGATCAGAGAAGATAAAGCAATTTGACAACAAAAAATGTAATGAGAACATCTCATTTTGAAGCGCAATACACAAACAGCGAATCATTTAAGCTGTGTGGCCGAATGCTAGGGCAGATTTGGTAATTAAAATAAGCACGTTTGCCACCCTACCACATAAATGGCGTTGCGTGGGTGTATGTCACATGTTTGCGGTTTTGGGGCGTGTGCGGCTCTCCGAATTTTTTCATGCTCTTATTGCGCTGATTAGTTGTAATTTTTCATTTCAGGTGAAACTGGAACAGAATGTAGGAAAACCATCCCGCGTCATTCACATACGAAACATTCCAAACGATGTCACAGAGGCCGAAATCATCCATCTAGGGATTCCCTTCGGTCGGGTTACAAATGTTCTAGTTTTAAAGGGCAAAAACCAGGCGTTTCTCGAAATGGGTGACGAAGGTTCTGCCACGTCTATGGTTAATTATTTCGCTAATTGTATGGCGCAGTTACGAGGAAGAGCCGTTTACGTACAGTATTCAAATCACAAAGAACTGAAGACCGATCAAACACATTCGAATGCAGTAAGTCGATTTATTTTTCTATTCAATTATTGATATAGATTTCGTAACGTAAATTAATCAAAGCGTCGTTGCCGATGTTAATTGGTGGAAGCTAAAGTGTATTTGTATAGCATGTTTACCTTAATGTTATACAGATGAAGGCATTTTGTATCGGATTGTAATTGAAGGTAATATTTGATTTAACAAAATTAGAACTCGCGCTGGTTTGAATTATTCCTTCTATCTGCAGTAGGTCGTTTTAATTAAAACGAATTAATTTTGTTTCTCGAGCCGCCTAAATTATTCATTTAAGTGCTAACGCAATTTGTACGATTTTTAATAATCTAATTTATTATGATAATATTTGTTTTACAAATTAAAATTCGACTTTTGAAAATCTCTCAACGCGTAATTTCATGTTTTTATTTCATTAATTCCTAATTTCCACTCTTTGTGAAAACATAGCTTCATTGCATACCTATATCTACGCGTATGGCCCTGCACTCGTTAATTATGAACGATATTGATTATTACGCGATAGTAATTTACCCGAAAAGAATTTATAACAATTCATGTGATTGGTTGAGCATAATGATTTCCGGTGGGGCCTCGTTTTTGTGTTATTTTTCACGTTTTCGATCGAACGAAGTGTATGATCATTAAGGTGCTTGCCAAGCAAATGATGTAGGTATGTAATACTTGTAGAGTATTGATTTTATTGGAAAGCCGAAATTACTCGCGTGGATTTTTTTTAGAACTACAAGGTGGTGCTTTATGTCCATTAATTTGCTTTGCAACGGTTTTTTGTTGTTTTCCATTAAGCTCGAAATTTATCAACAATTTTAAATGGATGCTTTGTTAATTATATTTTCAACATCTCCAAAATTGCGAGGTTCATCCAAATACGTATGTAATATCATCTGGATTAATGACTTGTTCATATGTATCTAAATGGAATTTTCAGTAGGGGATGTGGTTGATATCCATTAGTATTATGAGTTATTTAACAGTAACCACATTGAACCCTATTTATCTCTATTTCGCCCTTAAAAGGTTACAGATACGTGGTACTCCACGGTATTGCTTTAATTATTAATCTTGAACGCCTATAGCGATCCGTTTGGTGGCTTTATAACAATAGTCGCATATTTAAGGCCAGTTTTAAACCAACCAACAAAACCCGTTATGAACGTTAATTACATTTGCCATTGTTTGCTTATTCGGCCTATGAGGTTACCGTATTTTGCAAAATCGTTCATGAACAAATTTACAATATTGTTCACACATTACATACAAATCGGTTTCTATGCCATGGCGACGTGTTGAGAGTTTTCCCCCCTGGCCCGGATATCTTCAACAGTTTACTTCCAGTAGGAGCATTTGTAAAAGTATTTAGCCCGAATTTTTTAACAATCGCGAATTAAGCTCACAACCTATATTTTGTTACCACCCGCGCGTAAAAAACAACTCCCCACTTTTTTGACGGAAATACACGTTTTAGAGCACCAGGAATCCGAATCGAACAAAATCTCGATGATGTCGATCGGTCTGTCTGTCTATAGGTACTCTCATTTCCGGATAAACGGCTGAACCGTTCGGAACAAAATTTGGTACTCATATACTTAGGCAGAATCGCGCATTGGCAGGTGGTATCTGTGCTACCACAGCAATTTTTTTTATTTTAGCCATGAAAATCAATAAAAACCTTATTTTTTACTGAATAGTAGGACATGGATTCATGGAAATTCTGTTTTATTTATTGTATGTAGCTGAGGCAGCCGATATCGTACAATAAAAATGACTGACGGTAGAAATATGTGTTTTAAAAATTTCGAAAAATATGATATACGAGGTGCTGTTTTGATATTCCCGGACGCATATTTACCGAACCGTATCGAGTCAACGCTGCGGCCGAGCCGAAAACCCCCGAACATCCGCACGCTCCGTGTCTACCTTTACATAAAGGTCGGTCAGTATGCTTCCCGGACTAGGCATGAAAACAAAACAAAAATTTTATTTTTCAATGTAGTTCCGCTGCTTTTGAATACAGACATAACACCGTTTCGGTGGATCTTGATTTAAAAAAAAACTTCATATGGCTGCGGAAATACAATTAACAAATAATAATTTTATCTCATTTTCCTTATGAACGCTATTGTACTCACTTTGTCCGTCTGTACCACTACTAGCCCTCCAGTTTAAGCTTTTTCGTTGTGGTTTCTTTCTCATACGGTGCAGCACAGCCCCGAAACCAGGACGACAAAACATTTTGTGGGTTAGTCAATTTCTTCCCGAGTTATTACTGATTATGTATAAAATTCACTTTCGTCGGTCCCGAGTGACCACGGTTGTAATTTGTTTAGTTATGGTTCTGTACGACACGCTATGATTGAGTTACGACCTTACAGGAAACACGTACCACTCGCAACCCCCATCACTCATATCACTTTAATTGTCGCAATGCGACCTACGCGGCTGCTATATCTGCATTCGCTTGAACATCCGCATTGACAACTGCGAATGTCAATATCGATGCGGAAGTTCCGAAATTGCGGATGCGAATATCCGCAACATCACTGATCTCAAGGTACTCGTGTAAAATTCTGAAAACTGTGGTTTCTGAAAATCCTAGCGAAGCTAATTGTCTTACATCCTCAGCCCGGTATTCATTTCGATACATAAGTACATACAACGCGCGATGGCACAACGAAAAACTGTCAACCTAAAAATGCTCCACCTTCGGCGTCGCATTTTTATTAATTGACAGTTTTTTTCGTCTACCAAGGCATATATGAAAACAGCATAATGAAAAATTGCATCAAAATTCAAAACAGCCCAATCTGGAAATATAAAAACGAGCCCTCGTAATATATTGCTGAGGCATCAAATAAGTAATGCTGGGTACAATAGTATACGGTTAAATACACCACCAACAAAACACCTCTTCAACTAGCTCAAAATAAAATAATCTTTAAATTTAGAATTTTGTGATTTCTCTTCGTACACATCAGGTATCTACTACAAAGAAACATCCCAATAGTGACTTAAATTAATAATTTGGGAGACACACTACAGCCTCGGTCATTTTCCGAATTTTCATTAAAACCCGACATAATTTTTGGAGACGAGAAGAAAAATTGACATGAAAACTCTTCTTTAGGTCGCACAATGGGTTCGAATAAACATGCCATTAATTGATTGACAATGAGAAAATTTTGATTCCAAAACACATGACATAAAAATTAAAAGAAAATTCATGAATTAAGTAGAAGCATACAAAGCTTGTTTTTACTTAGTACCCCATACGCAGACGGTCGAAAAATAAAATTCTTTGTTTACAATCCCAATAATCTTGTCATAGTAAGATTTGCGATCAAACAGGCGCACTTACTTAAATCCACAAGCTTTGACAGTTTCTGAACTTCACTTTTCTATAACATACACACTAGATGCTAAACGAACTAGCTTGTTCAATAGCGATGACAGAAATAATCGGTGGATGTGCGAACGGTGTAAACTTTTTAAACAACAAGATACCTCACGTTGCACTAAAACCGTTTATTTTACTTCAACTTCAACAAGATTGCCGGTCACTGCACACCTTGTGTCGATTTACAATCTTTGTGTTTATTAAGATGCGAGCGACTTCTGGAATAGGATCGTGCTAATGTTGAACAAAAAGTCTTCGTTCAACACTGACCCGGAAGTCGCTAGCACCTTACGAAAAACAGAGATTGTAGATCGGGATCAAGTGTTCTGTGACCGGCAATCTTTCCTGGCGAGAGTTACACTTATCGGTCAAGCAAAGCGTTCACAGTCCCTCAGAGTCCGAAACCAATTAACTGGGCAGGGTTTGGCTAGGTCCTGGAGCTCCCACTACCCTGAGTACTCGGTGTCAATAAAGTTTCTTTTATTACCTTTTGACGGGTCACGGTTGCGTTCGATTGCTCAAAACTCTGCAATCGACAGATGCCCGTTCGGGTGTTTTCGGCCATTATAACACACCCGAACTTTCATTACACACGGCTTGAATTTAGTTGACTAAATCAAGTTGGTAGTTTGCCGTTTGTCATTTTGACATTCATCGTAAGGCGAATTCCTGTTTTTCAAAAATGGACACAGAGAATGATAATAGAGAGAAAAATGTTATTGCTGCTCCTTCTGAAATAACGCAAGCGGCAACAGAATTCTCGTAGAAAAAGTATAGTATGTAACGCGTTTTATAAACTTCTCTAGACACTCGTTATTAAACACTCGCTACGCTCGTGTTTAACATAAACTCGTGTCTAAAGTGTCGTTTATAAAACTAGATACATAATATACTATTATGTGTAGAATATTTGCTAAATGCGACTTAAAATATAGGAAAATGTATTTTCGCGAAAATTTAAAAGTCCATTATAGTACAAACTAATGCATTATAGCTTAAGCCCGTATCCAACGTGTAAACATAATGTTTAATTACCACCCACACGTGGAAATTTGTAAAGAATTTTATATAATCAGAAAGGCATCTTTTCAATGAAGTCGCGGGAGGGGGGGGGACTCTGAGTGTTTGGAATATTGTTTTTTTTTGTTCTTCCATACCTTCATTGGCGACGAGTGGGATGCATTTTATATGCTGGAACAACCAAGGTTGGATAACAATTCCGTTTTAGCTTGTCTAGGTAGTTGCAATTTCCCGAAAATAATTTCGTCAATAAATGAAGTTTTTGCACATTTAGTCTTTGAAAATGATAACGCACATAAAAAAGTATAGTTTCTTATCTTCGAAGAGAACCGTACACAATTTTTGAGAAATAGGATATGCATTTTTTCGGGTTTGAAATTTTGGGAATTTTTTTGTTAAATCAGAAAGGAAAATCTAAAAACCGTTAGTTCCTTCTTCCTATGTGCTAAGGCTATTGAAAAAATTAAAGAAAAAACGCAAATTTTGAGGCTATTGAAAGAATCTGAAACTTTATTTAGAAAAAAACACTAGTTTTGGTCCACTGTACCACCTACTAAATTGTTACACTCTG